CTCAATACTAACTTATTATGCTCGAATTTGTAATGCAAAGAAAAGTAAATATGATGTGGGTTGAGGTTCCCTATTCGAATTACTAAACTACAAATGCAAGGAAAGAAACATACAATGCAACGCAAAAAAGAAGAAAAAAAGCAATGAAACTAATGTTTAGGTAGTGATTCTAGATGATCACGCATTCATTCTCATTAACAAGATGCTTATGTGAATACTCTAAGGACATTTGCTATCCGGGCATATGCCTCTTACGATAGGAATTTGATTAACTAATGCATGATTTCGCTTCATGCATCACCTAATCAATGAAGAACAAGAAAGTTCGGATAGCATATGGTTAAGTGTGAGCCTCTTAACATATAGTCTATAGCATATATATGATCTAAATTATCAAGCATCATCCTCATTCATGTATAGATGTGTGGCTAGTCCTCCTATATACACCTAAAGAGGATGCCTAATAGGCAATACACGAGATTGGTATGCCTTGTCTCCCATAATATTAGTATAACCGATGCATATAGTAACAAATAATACAATCATAAGCATTGATTAACTCAAGCATCTAGTAAAAATAGCATCGAGTAACTCAAGCAATAGATGAAGCAAACATAAATTGACATAAAGTAGTATGGGATTGTCTGTATCCCATTTGCCCTAGTTGCAACTTAGGTGGTAGGTGATTATTCATTCTCTTTCTCGTGAATTATGAATGAATTGAGTTTGCCTAGATTTTTTATGCTTTATATATGATTAATTATGCTTGATCTTATCTCTTAAATTCTTTTCATAGTAGCCTACCACTTAGGAGTGCATGAATTAGAATGGATTTGAGCACCTTGGCTTGTTAGGAGTAGTTGAATGATATATGAGTCTAGTATGGTGGACGAGGCGACCATACCCATATCTATTAGACATCCACCTAGGTAAAGCTAGGGTGTTGAGTGCGTGACCATTGACTTAGCAACCTACATTGTGGATGGGTAGAACCCATTTAGAGGAGATAGGTCGTATCCTTACAACATGAATCCAACTAAGGTGACATTGGGCTAGTGGATTAGTGTAGGAGTGGGAGTGGTTTCATGACCATTGAACCAATACCTAGGTTAGCGATCTCCGCACCTCGATCACCAAAAGTCGTCCTTCTACCTTTTGCATGTCATTTCCTGTAGTTAGGGAGAGGGAGGCAACGCGGGTACCTCTTCTCCTCCATCGACCTATAGTTCAGTAATCGCCAACTGCTCACCTGCTAAGTAACAGGTTGACTAGATAACGGCCGAGCATAATTAGTCTAGGGTAATGTGACCCTTCAAATAGGACCTTGGTCACCACTATACTACTTCGCCAATCTAGGGTGCACTTGCCCTAGATTGGGGTAGTTAGTATTGTTGATGATCGAGTTTATAAATTCAAAGCTCGATGCACGACATCATCACTCAAACAATTAATGACACAAATATACATTGACATCAAGCATCAACGATAAAGATAATAAACACAATAGGAATCTCATTAAATCATAGAACTATATGCATAAATCATTAGTGAATTCACATCGCTAACACAAATCGTCTAGCATACCATAGGGAAGTAGAACGACATCACCATAGATACAAGCATCGATGGTGAATGCTTACTCAAATCTCACAACAATTTGCCCCCTCCATATGGATTGCTACTCGTGCCCCTAAGAAAGAGTGTTGGTAAAAGGTGTAGCCTAGCCTCCTATTTATACTAATTATAGAAGGGGGCTTTCTAGTCTTTTTCCTCCTAAAGTCCGCCCAAAACCTTCATTGTACGACTTGAACTCGGATTCCTTCGACTTGTGGATGAAGTAGGTTGGTTCAAGAAGCTTCTAGAAAGCTAGGGCACGAGCGGCGGGTCGAACCGATATTGGGGCTCCTTTTTTGTGCAATTGGTTGCTTGTGGGCCAAGTAACTCCTCATGCAATTTGTAAGCGAAGGTTAGTAGGAAAATCTCTCATGGGCCTCGAACAAAGATGGGCCTGCTGCACTACCAGATTTGCTTGTTTTGGCCATAAAGTAGTTTCTGATGTCCAAATCCATGTCTGTTTGGGCCAATGAGCTTGTATTCTCATTCTCTTTCTGATCCATTGAGTCCCTTGGTGATTCATATTTGTATTGAGTGCATTATATCATTGAAAAGTACAAAACAACCCCAAAACACGTAAAATAGTACAAAAGCACATACAAGGTCTATCATAAACTCATAAATCAAATATTTAAGAATTCCATATGAAATATAATATAATATGTTAAAGATGCATTGATAGAAGTGGGGGGGGGGGACAATGTATCAAGTATGGGAGCGATGAACACTATATATAGAGTGTCATCAAACTTGTTCCTTTTATACAGAAGAGGGTACCTTGGTGATATGAAATGTGCATGGTAGTAGAAATATATCATAGAATAGTGGTGTAGGAATATAATAACCATCATCTACCACGAAGACAAAAGGTGGTATAATTAGTCCTAAAAATACTTGAAGTATATAGAGAATTGACCTCATTTTGAGACTATAACAGGAAGCTCGTTCCTCTATGTAAATTTTTTCAAAATTCAAGTTAAATCGGATAATATAAAAGGTGGTAACGGATAAACTGAAAAAATAATTCTCAAAATATATAAACCATGAATATTATTTTATAGAACACAGTAAACTTCATTTTTATACAATTTTTTAAAAAGGTAACTTAAATTAAAAGAGGTACAAGTTTATTAAAATTTAAAAATACTTTATCTCAATCAAATCTGAACCCACTTAAAAAATGAAAGAGCCAAGATCTGGTTATACTTTGCATAACTATCATTCCTAGGAGGCTAGGACTCCACTTGATCTTCGCCAAAAGGCCAAGAAAGGCATGCGACTGGGCTTCACCGGTGAAAAGGTGACGACAGGCCTGTGGTAGAGGATTGGGCCTAGTGAATGGCGATTTACCAGGCAATATATTTTTGTTTTTGTTTTTTGATCATTTTTACCAGGCAATATTTAATCTGTGATGATCGAGGAGAACCCGCAGCTTTTCTCGTCCTTCCCCTGCGCCATGGCTGAGCGAAACATGACGGACCTTGCGAAGTCCCAAACCAAGACTCAGCAAGAAATTGAGGAGCAGCAACAGGTAATTCGACAAAATCTGCACCTCTGTCTGTCGATGATTCTCGAGATCAGTACGCTGCTGAAGGAGAATGAACCCGGTCCTGGTAATCCCCTTATCGTCGCGTACCTTTTAAGTCCTTGCCAATTCAAGTTAGAATTAAGAGAGTCGAACCTTTTAAATGGATTTGGCAGAACCTACTATGTGGATTCAATGAATCGTTTAAGAAGGATTTTCTCGAGCACATCACACTTCGGGGTTGTTTGGATTAGGAAATTTGAGGAGGGATTTTGCCACAATCCCTAGTCATAAGGAATTTGGTCACAATTCTTTGTTTGGATAGAAAAATAAAAATGAGAGATTTAGGGGATTAGGAATTTCGAAAATCCTGCTATTAGGAAATTTAAAATAACTGATGGACCCCAGGTTTTTTGAAATCTCTGCTCATTTTTCCCAAACCTTCCCAATATATCCTTCCTTATTTTTTGTTATTCCTTTCTTGCCCTCCCATGAATAGACGACCCTCCAGCCACCATTTCCTATCTCTCTTTCCCATCTGCATCTCTTTCTTCCCTCCCGATACGACAACTGCAAGCAACTCAAAAACCTAGCGACGTCGGCGATTGCAGCGGAGATAAACCTCGCGACGTCGGCGACTGCAGCGGAGTTTTACCAGTTCCGATCTACAGCGACGTCGGCGTTCCCCTTGAAGTGCGTCCGATCTCCATCTTCGATCTCACCAGCTTCGCGTGGGATCTGTGCTTCGCGCGCACGAGGGTAACAGGGTGGTGAAATTTAGGGCTCGGCTTCCAGGTTCGTACTCCCTTCCTCCTTTCCCTCCCTACGCTTGAACCGTTCTGGGTCAGGGCTCTGTTTTCTGGGTTTATGTGAATTAAGAGTTTGGGTTGAGGTGCGAATGGTCTTCTTCCTCATTTTGTTTGAATATATGAAACTAGGGTTCTATATTGGTGTGAACTGATGAATCTTCTTCCTCATTCTGTTTGATTAAAGGAAACTAGGGTTCTTGATTTGGGTACGATTTGATTCGTACCCAAACTAATTAATAATCTCACTTCAACTTGCAGAGGCCCAAACTGATTAATAATCTCACTTCAACTTGCAGTTACTGAATTGCGAAAATTCCCAGAAATGGTGTGTGGTCTTCAGTAACTGCTTTTCAAAGTATTACATTCTTGGACTTGAGTCACCTGCATTCCGTTTTCCTGTACCATTTTGTGTTCATGCTTTTGATCAAAGCAGATCTGGCTTCTCTGGTTCCTTGGTTGTGCTTTCGTTTATATTTTCGACCTGTGAGATATGCTTGTACTTTTGACATACAAGTCAGGATAATATCCACACACAAAAAAAGTCAGGACAAATAAGCTTTATGTTCAGGGGATTACAGCTCATTTTTTAAGGGAGCTATTTTCTGTTGCCATTCAAAGAACCCTTTTGCATCCTTCTAAATAGTTTACTGCAACATGATACTTGTTGGTGTTGACAAGAACCTTGGAAGTTGACTATAAGATTCCCAGGATCTTGTAGGAGATTCAGGTGGGAGATGTCTGTCTTATCCTTTTCTAAAACTCAGAAAGTGTGTTCATATGTTGTCATCGGCTCATTTGTTAGGTCTATTCTGTGAGCTAGGAGTGTAGAGTTTAGGCAAATTTTCAGCCTTAGCAACTTATTGAGGAACCAGAACAATGATGATTAGAACAGAACAATACTTTCTCCCTTACTTCTTCTTATTGCCTTGTTTTAGGATGGAATTTGTTGCTATGTTGCTACTCCTCTCTGTCTATCCATCCATCCATCATCTATTAACCCACAAAACCATTGTACCCTGATGACAAAACCCACGACTCAATTTGGGGAGGTATTAAACAACCAAGAACAGAGAGGAGGGAACGAAGAAACTCTCAGCAGCTACACCCCCCTTCTCCACCACGATCTTCGCCGGGGTCCTCCTTTCCGCCGCCTCTGAGATTCGAGATACCCGCTGCTTCTGCACAACCCAATAATCATCCACTCTCGGATACCCGCTGGTTACACTCGGAGCCTGCTCCAAATCTTCCCCGGCGTCGTTGGCCCCGGCGATGGAGAACGGGACAGTGAGTCTGATCCCCGGCGAGAACGTCTCCGGCGACATCCTCTGCCCCCGCAACGTATGGAGAGCCCGTCATTTTGGCTGAGAATCGTCTAATTCATCATCATTGCTTACTGCTTGGTGAAGAACATGTTCCATCCGTCATTTTACGGATGATTTATGGAATCGTCTTCGTCACATCCGCCACCCGAAAGTCACCGCATTTCCGAACGATTCCGCCAGAGACGCCGCGTTCGAGTACATCGCTGAAGAGAGGGATTAAAAGTGTCTGCAAAGAAAGAGAGTGAACAGGGCAAAATAGTAATTCTAGGTTTGTCATTAAAATCAAAATTGCTCATTAGACAATTCTGGATCCTTCATCAAACAAGTGATTTGATTCAATTTCCTTGTTTAAATTACCTGGATTTTTAAGAGCAGAATTTGGATACAAATTCCTTATAAATCCCTCAAATCAAAATGCTTAATCCAAACAACCCCTTCAAAGAAAGAGTTCTGATTTCTGGGGAATTTAAGATTGTCTCGACGTGTAAGATTGATTGTATGGACAATATTGGGTTCTTTTAAAGGTGCAGCCATTATTAAGATCCGTTAATGGAGAGCTAGGGCTAGCTGTCAAAACCCTAAGGTTTTAGCTTGGTTTTGCGGAGGAATTTCACTTGAGGTGAGGGTTAGCGTCAAACCATAAGCCAGAAGATTACACTTTAGATTATTTTTCTCTCCTTTGTACCATTGAAATTTACTTGCACCGCACTTCGTCTTGTTATTAGTATGTTTTGATTCGCTTTTGTGGCTGGGTGGTTTTGACTGAACGCCTGATATGTCAATGTTACGCAGATAAATCTATGGCAGACGAGTTTGTGGGTACAATTAGAGAAAAGATGATTTTTGCGCGTGAGTTCGTCCAGGATGAGAGTCACCTGACTGACTGCTCTTCGAAAGGCATTTGTGTTGTCGCATGCTGATGAATCCACTTCCGGGATCCCTGATATCATATCTGCTGCACTCAAAGCGGTCGTGGCTACGCTTGATCGAGCTTTCGTTTCATACAAGCGTTGCAAGGCGGCAATCTCATGTGCCTGTGCTGCAACACTTGCTCACAGAGCTGCACGACTTGCGGATGGTCCCCAAATGCAGGGCAATGATGAACGGGTAACATCCTCCTCCTCCGATGAAGAATGAAAATAGGAGCCTGGAGTTTGAAGAAAGGAGGGGGTTTCTTGTTGTTTGTCCCAAACAGAATAGTTTCCTTCATGTAGGCTTCCACTCCAAGTCGTGATACAGCTGATGTTTTGAATTCTCTCTGTCAATTCATGCTCCATTCTACCGTGATTTCTCTGTTGTAATTAACACCCGTTTATATTGTGTGCGACTGCCTCCTACAAGGGTCAAAAAGCTTGACTCACTCGTTCACAGCTTTTCATATTACTAGTCAGGTAGGAATAGGATGTGCTATTAATGAGGAAATAAAGAAACAGACCAAATTTGTACTAGTTTGTCATTTGTATTACGCAATTTTTGATATGTCATTCATATATCAATCATTAAGTTTTTTATTAGTTCAAAAAATAGAATCAACGATGATATGACAACTGTAACATACCAAATTATCATTTTAGGTTCAACCCACAATAAAAATATGGTTAGATCAAGACTAGAAACGAGGACCCAAACCACAGGAGAATCGTAAGGGATCACAACCGAGAGAAGCAATTAAGTCATAACTCAGCCAGTTAGTGGATTCCCATATCAGAGCATTAACACGATTAATTGAAGGCCATTACAACACCTCTGTTACATCCAAGCAAGAGAACGCTAGAGCAACCAAGCGGCCGACTTATCCTTCCTCTCTCAAGCTCCAGCTGCCGGGAACAGAAGCTCGATCTCACCATCTTTTCCACCCTCACAAAAACCCACCTCCATTCCATTCCGTTTGTCCTTCCGCCAGATCATCCTGTTGCTGCCGACACCAATCACTGCGACCATCTCTCTCTATCTCGCGGACAGTTGTCCCTTTCCGACTGCGACTAAGGGCCCTATGGGTAAACTCATTGCAGCGGCAAGAGTTTTCTTCTAATCTAGAGGTGAGATTGGCCAATAAGGAGTTGGTCTAGTGATAATGCCACTAACCTCTGAGGTGAAGCCATGATTTTAAGTCGGGGGCTAGGCCAATAATAAAATTTTCAAACAAAATGCTATCATGATAAATGAAATTTATTTATTACACGATGCTATTTGAGGGAAATAAAATACATCAAAATAGTGTTTAAGCTAAAAATAAGGTGAATTCAACATATTAATAAGATCAAATTCCTTTGACTATCCAAGTTTCGCTAAACTATAACACAGTTGTGCAACAAATGATATATTCACTAGAATGTTTAAGAGCATCAACATGAAAAATCTTCAATTAAAATGACAATCTAAGTATTTATTTTTCTAAAAAAACTAGAGGATAATACTTTCTTGTAAAACGATAAATAACATCAATGTCGAAATTCGTTGATAGAATCCAAAATCGAGCTCAATTTCAAAGCAATACATCTAACTCCTAAACTAAATGGTTGATAATTAAAGAAACCAATGAACACAATTTTCATATTTCAATTTAGATTTGGCAACCATCAATTCAATTTCTCCACCCACAACCCCATAGCTGACAGTAGAAAAAGCAACAAAAAAGACGAGGGTGGTGTTCGAACCCTTGACCTCCACTCTCATAGCTGGGAGAAGAAAAAGAAGAGAAAAAAGCAACAAAAAAGACAGTAAGAGAACTCAAACCCTAGACCTCGATTCTATAAAATACAACAAATACCAATCAATTCTAGTAGATGTCCGATATCACTCATATTCCCAAAATTCCCGGGGGCCATGGCCCCCCCAGTCGTTGTGCTGGCTTTGCCCTTGACTAATCTTGAATCTGAAGGACTCAGGTTTTAATCTTTTAAGTAGTATCTAATAACAAAAAATAACCTATATCACCCTTATCTATAAAAAATCTAGACATGAGATTCATCGCCCATCTTCTCTTGTGTGGATTATGGATTGTACCCAGTGGGGTTACTAGCCATAAAGTGGAACATTGGAACACCTCCAGCAATGACCAGGTTAACAGAGTCAATAAGCCAATGGGAATAGGTTATTCGAGATGGTGTCAGTGGTGATATCGATTACGACCTTGATTGAGCACTCACGTTATCATATTGGATCTTTAGTATAATAAGGTGTGTTGGTTCAACGGGCGAGTTAGCAACCCACTTTAACGAATTTTATTACGTTGTTTAATTTATTCAAGTTCAAGTATTTCATTATGTCATTTTATACTTGGTCTTTACGTTTACGTTATGCACATATACGCTTTTATGTTATGATGTTAGTGTTCAGTTCTTAAGTTTGACCAACACGTCATTGCAATGCATCAAGAAGTACTTATGTTTTAAGACAAAGAGTAAAAGTTATGTATTAAGCTGATTTATATCTTCCACTTTGTGAAGATTATGTCGAGCGAGCATAAGTTACATCATGTTAAGCAAGTAAGCAAAATCATGTTTTAAACCTCACTTACCTAGCAAACTCATAATCACCTCACTCCTCACAGTGTCAGTGAGGGAGTCTTTTGTGTACAAACCTCACTCGTCGGTAATAAGGAGGTTACTAACCCTCACCCCTGGGTTATAAGGTGGTTCTATTATGATGAACCCCACAACCATGTAGAGCGTGCAGTATTGTGTTTCCCATGTGAGGAAACCCATGTTATGAGTTATGTTTATGTTATAAGTAAGTTGGTGAACGTGATAGAGGAGCACTTCTACTATGCTATATAGTATTGGTGCTTTAATGTACAATTTAAAGTTGTACCATAACCTTAAATGTATAAGTTTAGGTTGTCCCATAAAGCAATTTGTACCATTATGTTATGGTACAACTTTACAACTTGAAGTTGTACCGTAAAAGAATTTGTACAAAAAGTATAGGTACAATTTTAAGTTGTACCATAAAAGCAAAACCCTATAGCACCAATACTATATAGCATTGTAAAATTTGTCTGTGATACCCACGGCATTACACATTTCAGCGACCTACAGGCTGGCCGCCAACAGGAAAACCAAAGAGCCAATCTCAAACTCAGCAAAGCATATCTTTTATTCTCAATCCAAACTTTGTCCGCCCGTGAACTGGGTCCGGCCAAAATCTCAATTCACGGGTTCCAAACTTCCAATACTCTCGTGCTTTAGCCTACCCTCACTCCCTCTATATAAAGCCCAAACTACTCATCTCCCTACCTTACAACACAATCAGCTCGATCCCCCGCCGCCATCATAATTCATAAGTATAGCTAGCTAGTCATGGCAAACAACAGCCGGCCCATCTTGATGATAATGGTGGCCTTGGTTGCCCTGGCCGTGGCAGCTGACACCGTAGATGCTTCGAGGAAAGTGGGCAGTACGAAGCCATCGCCAGCAGATCAGCAGGTTGTGTTTTGTAACATGACGCAGGAAGGGCTCCAGGCGTGCAAGCCGTCGGTCACAAAGCCCGATCCGGTCGACCCGCCGGCTCTGGCCTGCTGCCAAGCACTGGGAAGAGCCGACTTGAAGTGCCTCTGCTCTTACAAGAACTCCTTCGTCCTGCCTTCCCTTGGCATCGACCCTGACCTGGCCATGGCTCTGCCTCAGAAATGCAACCTCCCTTCCCTGCCGCAGTGTTGATGGGCTGTATTTCGTCTCTTGTTGCTTTAATAATTAATTCATAAGCTATGGTTTGCGATGTGTCCTTTGTATCGTAACTACTGTTGTTGTTTCATCCAAAAAAAAGGAAGCACTGTTGTTTTGTCCAACCACTGCTCGTTGGAACCTTGTATCACCAATTCAGTATTGTCTATTTCATATTGTGTGTGATGGGTTTTTTTAGTTCTACAAGTTTGCATTAAATTTTGATGCCGCATAATTTTGGGGAGAATATTCATGTTATACAGAAACTGGAATTAGATTGGGAAGTAAGCAACAATGACGCCCTAAAAATTCTTATTTGTCGTCCTAATTATATTTAATTTACTCTAATGTCCTTAATTTATTTTTATTTATTTTTCAAACACTTAAACTCAAAAACATATATCCACATGTCGAATAAAGCATCTCACCGGAGGCCTAATTTTCGTCATGGTAACGTACCAAACATAAAATTTCACCATTACTGGCGAATAAAGCATCTCGCCGGAATTGGCTGCGAGAACATGGAGTACCACCTGTTAATGAGTGCCTTCTAAATTCTAAGGAGGGTTCTAGCTCAGCCAATCAACGAGAAGTTTTGCTTTTATAGTTCAGTAAGTTGATAAAGAGATTTAATCACAATTAGGCCTCCGGTGAGATGATTTATTCGGCGAATTGGGGTTTACACCCACTTTGACATTCTTCCTCCTTATTTCTCCTTTCCCGGCAACAGAAGTGGGTCGGCGGATTGGAGGAATCGCAGCGGGTGACCAACACTATGACCTTCTTCCTCCTGCTTCTTCTTTCTCCTTCCTCAACAACTACAGCGGGTCGGCAAGGCTGGGAAATAGTACGATGGTGGGTTGTGGGAATGAGAGTTGCGGCTGGTTTGGGGAACGGCTGTGGCGGCCGGAAATCAGTTGGTTGGCGGGAGCGGGACGACACACAGAGGTAGGGAGGGATTAGGGAAATTGGAGTTAGGGGTATAAATGTCAAATCAATATGGTTTAGAGCGAATTTTTTAAAAATTTAGGGCGACGAATAGCAATTCAGAATATTAATCTCGCATAAGGATTTTTTTAGGATAAATTACAAGTTTGGTCACTAGAATTACTTAAAAAAGTTCTCGTTTATCACTGAAATGAATTTATTTCATCCGTAGTCACTCAAATTAGTTGAACTGTTCAAGTTTTGTCACTTTTTGTTAGTTTCCGTTAAAGCTGACGTGGCAGTCAATCCAAAATTCTCATTCCGTTTCAGTTTAGGGAAGCGATGGTAGGCGGCAAAGAAGATGGTTCTACAGGTGAGCTGCTGGAGACGTCGGAGCAGCTGTGAGAATTGGGGTTTCTGGCTATTGCATAGTAAAATTTGAAACTGGATGGGAGGGAAAGTTGTGGGTTTCTGAAAGGAGACCAAATTCCGGTGGAAAGAAATTGGAATGCGGGTTGAAGAAGAGAGGGAGATTGGAATGACGTCGGACCGGACATCGTCGCCTGAGCCAGCCCGAGCACTCCGGCGGAGATGAGAAGTTGTGTGTGTAGGAAGATCCGAAATGGTTTGACGGCTCATGGAGGATAATTAGGATGTGCGTGTCACGAGCCCACCGACATCCATAGCTTCCACAATCCAAAGCACCCTCGTCAAATAAGATGGGAGCATGAATTTTGTTTTTCAATTTTTCATTTTTTTTATGGTTAATAAAAAATGTCATTAAACACAAGAGATGCCAATAGGCATTAAACTCCTCTCAAGGTTTAAACAAGCAGCCTAACCTCTATACATTTAAGCAAACACTCTATCCAAACCAGTGAGAAACATGTCTAAAACTATTTTGAAGCTGTACACTTCTTGCTATAAAGTAACGAGCATCACTTGTAATTTTTATCAACAAAATGGAAGGAGAGCACCAATCAATATCTCCTGCAACTCTTCTGCACCTCTTGCGCCATAGATGGCTCAGAGTCAAAATCCATAGAAAACGACCAGCAATCGCCATATCATTGGCAACAGGAAGATCGCCATCCAGTATTGGAAGACACTTGTAATTACTGAAGAGATTAACTGTGGACGATCTACATAGCTAAGAAACCTTGTCTGCCAGCTCCTCACCCTTGTTGTTATCTAGTCAACCAACACCTGATAGTCATGTGAGCTCAGCTTTACAGTTAATAAAGGAACCCCTAGATATCTAACAGGGAGAGTATCCAGAGGGAACCCAGTTGTTCTTGAAATAAAATCCTTCTCATCCTAAGATATTCCCGCACAGTAGAGACTACACTTAGCCATGTTGCTTTGAAGCCCAGAGACAATGTAGATCTGGTCAAGCAACCGTCTGATCCCAGCAACACCTCTCACATAACCATTGGTAAAAACAAGCAAATCATCTGCATAGCACAGATGAGTAACCTCCAGTGCTTTACATCTTGGATGATAAGGGATTTGATTGTCAATAACAGCCCTTTCAAGACATCTAGAGAAAATTTCCATAGCTATGGTAAATAGGAATGGAGAGAGGGGGTCTCCTTGTCTAAGCCATTTTCCCACTGGGAAGTACCCACATAGTCCACCATTAAAGGCTACACTAAGCATAGGAGTAGTAATGCAAGCTCTAACAAGATTAAGGAAGCAGTCTGGGAAATTCATAGCATGCATCGCTTGAAACAGAAACTGCCAGTCTGCCGAGTCGAAGGCTTTCTTTAGATCAATCTTCAAAGCACACCTAGGAGTAATTAACCTCTTGTGGTAGTCTTTTACTAGTTCAATGGCTAAGAGTATGTTATCACTTATGGATCTACCCTTGACAAAAGCAGATTGGGAAGGTCCTATTACCTTATGAAGCACACTAGAGAGCCTATTTGATAATAATTTGTATATACCTTTATAGACCACATTGCAACAGGATATAGGTCTAAAATCCTTCATTTGTTCTACATTATGAATCTTTGGGATAAGAGCAAGGATGGTGGAGTTTACCTGTCGTGGCATAATCCCCGTTGAGAAGAATTCCAGAACTGTGTTTTCCACATCTGTCCCAACAATATCCCAAATAGCAATGAAAAATTCATTTATGTAGCCATCTGGACCAGGGGCCTTATCCCTTCCCATAGATTTGAAGACCTTCTTGATTTCCTCTCTAGTGATCTGGGTTCTCAATACCTCATGATCTTCATCATTAAGCCTCATTTTCACCAGCTCCAAAAAGAAAGATTCAGGGAACTTCTGCACAACAGGATCAGGATGACCTAGCAATCCCTTATAAAAAGAGACCGCCAAACTACGCACTCCTTTACCTCAGTCAAAACCTTACCGCTATCATCAACCAGCTTTACAATATTCTGCCTCACTGCCTGTGAGTACGAGCATTTACTGATGCATGGAAGAATTTGGTTTTCATATCACCCTATGACACATACTGCACCCTAGACTTTTTGCGATAAAAACTCTCCTCTGCAGCCTGCAACTGCTGGCAAGCAGCAGCAGGCTTTAATTCATTCTCAATAGTTTCAGCATTAGGAGATGCTAAAACCAACTTCTGAGCGTCTTCCAAATTCATTTATGCTTCTCTAGTTCTCTTAGATAGCCCGAATAATTTATTATATCAGCTTTTTCACCCTCATCTTTTACTCTCTGAGCCTGCCATACAGAATTTGATGGGAAGACCCTTCACCTCCCATTTGCCACACTTCATTTAGCAAGGTAACATATGTGGGATGAGACCTCCAGAATTTAAAGAACTTGAAAGGCTTTGGGAGGGTTGATACCTTTGGTACAGTTTCCATCACAAGCCCACCGTGGTCTGAAACACCTGGAGACAAAGTTTTAGCAACACTGTGGGAGAACTTGGTTAACCATTCTCCATTGACAAGAAACCTATCCAATCTCTTAGCAATTGGGTTCCCTTGCTGCTTATTCCACCAAGTGTACCAAGAACCCAGCACCTTATGATCAAACAACCCATTCTAGAAATCCAACTTCTAAAATCCAAAGTGCTTTGAGTAACAACATCTGTGTTTGATGCCTCCTGAACCTCAACAATAGCATTGAAGTCCCCCATGTAAAAACAGGGTACCCCCACTCCCATTCCTAAGTACAGCTCTTCATATAACTTTTGCCTATCAGCAACCTTGTTAGGACTGTAGATAGCAGTAACCAGAAATGTAATATCTCTTGAAACCCTTGTATAAAATGTTCCCCCATACTCACTTTAAGCCCCCCCCCCCCCCCCCCCCCCCCCCCGCGGCAGAAAACTAACTATTTTTCCAAGTCACAAGCTGAAAACCCTCTTCATCCACCACTACCTTACCCAGGTCCCCAACTGTCTGAGGAGGAGTTTGAGCCACTGCACGCTGAGTAACTGTTGGAGTTGCAGTAGACCCAGCACTAGAGGAAGCTTCAATGGTAGTAGCCAGAACTTCTTCGTGAGTAGGAGCAGCCTCAGTGGCAGCCTCCCCCGTTTTAGGAATCCATTGCACTTGTAATGCCTCTAAATCAACTATACCAGCCACCACCAGTTCTCTATCTTGCAAAACTTCAAGAATACGACAGTTATCGCCCTGTCAAACCTCATGCCCAAAAATTCCACATTGTGCACAACGATGGGGAACACTCTTGTAGCTCACAGAGATCATCAAAGCTTCCCCTCCTTCTGGCCGAATACAGAAATTCGTTGGAAATTTAGAATCAACAGACATTTTGATGCATACTTTAGTAGAACTCATCTGAGCACCCATCTTAGTAGCCTGATCCATCCATAGCGGCTTACCCAGTCTACTCGCAACCCTGCTAAGACCCTCCACATTTAGGTATTCTAGAGGTAATCCTCGCAGACTAACCCAAATCGGCAGAACCCCCAAATTCAATTCCATCGGCTGAATTCCCGGAGTCCACTTCCGCAGAAACAACGAGTTACCCTCACAGTGCCATGGTCCGTTCTCAAAAACACAATTACAGGAATCACTGTCCGGGAGATGAAACATTATCAAGATTTCGCTCAAAGGGGAAACCAGAACCTTACCATCACGACTCCAGAATCTCTGAGCCCAGCGACGGATTTTGAACAAGCTTGGAGGCTTTGCCAAAAATGCCCCACCAGTGAGTTACGCCATCGAGCCACACCTTCATCTCGAAACGCTTGAGGAATGACCAAATCTCCATCATCCAGCGTCGGAGCAATATATCACAACCTGTTACCCTCACCTACTCCAAATAATTGAGCCCAATTTGCCGAGGGCGGATC